AAATTGGTATCTCCAAGAATGCGCTAATTATTGAGACCGACAAACGAATATGATTTGATTTATTGTTATTGCCATATGAATCTATGAAATCCCTTCCTGTTTTTGACTATAAAAACACTTCATTGTAAAAAATGAAAATTCAATTGATCATTAACTCTCGAGACGTCAACTAGTAAAGATGTAGCTCCAATAGAATCAGAATAGATCGCGAAGTGCATAGAAGTACCTATCTATAGTGGTTATTAGAATCAGTGCAAGTGAGAAAGAGATTATGGCAATTCTTTCAACCCCCAAGCAAGTTGGTATGTCTTTGTGGTTACATTTAACAGACTATAGAACTGAAAGTGTTTTTGACATTCAACATAACTTTCTAACGATAATATAATGGACAGTTGAAGAAACTAGTCAGTCAACCTATTAGTGTCGAGGGTTAGGATGTTGTTTAGTGAATTAGATGTATAAGGGTTTTGCAAACTAACTTGATAAGAGGTGTCGAAATAAGGGATGATTAGAGTTTTAGCTATTAGTATATGCTGGGCTTAGAGTAGAAGTAGGGTTGAGTTTTGATATATATAGTTTTACTGGGTGTATTCTTTGAAGAAGTTTATAAAGGGGAGTTTATTTGTTGTTTTAAAGGATATCAACGTTGAGTTGAGAGTTTTCATTGTAGGAGAACCTAGGGTGAATAAATACTGGTTCATGATTATTGATTGTATATTGAATATTTTTGATTTCATGAATTTATAGAGTGATTATTTGAGTTTTTAGATATTTTCTTAACTTTGAAATATAAGTGAATAGACATCAGAAGTTTGAGTTTTCTGGATATTTGAATTTGTTAGGATTCTGATCGTGAATGTAGTTTATCTATTTGATTATAGTTTACTAACTAGATATTTGTTTTTCTCCTGCATTCTGCCACCATCATAGTCCGAACCCACACAATTTAATATCTGCTGTAGATTCTACACCCTGTATAAACATACCAGCCGCTCGGTATATAATCTGATAACATCTCCCTTATACAGGGGTGGATCAACACAAGGGTGACTGCAAAGGTCATGTCGTAAATGTGTATCATATAGATAGATGTGATAGAGTGGGTCAAAATAAAAAGAATATGTCTATCGCGCTTCGTTACGGAGTTATTGACCTTGACAGTTGGAATAAAAAAAAATTATTCCATGTATAACTTTCAAACGGTTGTCATGGTATCAATGATATTCGGGCAGGTGAATAAATTCATATAGGTACTAATGCTCCTTTTCATACGCGTAAACGGCTTTTCAGTGTATTGTTTATACAGGATATATGGAACGTTTCCGTTTCATGGAAGCATTTTTGACACAGGTGACAAATTCAACATTTCGCTTCCACCGTTTGATTCCTCCATCTTTTATCCACAAATATATGGTATAATTTATTATACAAACCTATGTAGGAAGTTTATTCATTCCTGGCTCGAGATCATATGACTAATCTCGACATAACTAATCTCACGACAGGAATGAATTTCTTTCCACCTCGGTGAGTAATATATACTACCTATATATATTAATCTATATCCACTGAACTATATTAGTGTCTATATCTTGTGCCGTTCGCCCGTTCCAGAGAAAATCGCATTTTAAAACAAACATTCCGACCGTTTCAGAGGTAATAAACGCCCCATATTCACTTATTTATAATAACATCAGTGAAGACCAGAAGATTATCAAAAATGGTTTTTAATATGTGCATTTTCAACGTCAACGCATTTTCTAAAGTTGTTTAAACATCTGCGTTGAACTCGAGATAACATGTGATGATGATGATCATATTTTACGGCGTGTGCAGATGTGAGAATTCGATTCAAAGCTCATCCCTAATATTTACATGTGTTTTATAGACTATATAAGCATTCCAGATAGCAGAGAAATAAATCAAGTAGATTAGGATCAAGTGACCGAGGTGGCCATGGAAAAGGACCATGGGGATTGTGATGTTCAAATGAACTCTTTTACAGCTTTGTCGAAATTATGAGGCGCAAAGAAACTCTTCTAACAACGGATCTGGATGTTCTTGCAGAAAAGTTAAATATTTATATACATTTAAAGTTCCATTAATGATATTAGATCCATAATGGAGCAAATGCCAATTAGTCCTATTCATACATTGATATAATGAATGGAGTTTTTATAACATTTGAAACGGTTGGGATGTATGTTTTAAATGCGATTTTATGAAAAACACTGTCTGTAGGTTAACCGAAGGAGGTGGTACATTCATTTTACTTGATTATCTGGGATTTTCTCACCTCGTTTCTATAAAATAAAAATATTAGATTTATTTCAATATATGTGTGGTTGGACCAAAATGTCACTGCGATTAACAAATTTTCCTATCAGAGATCGAGCCTAAAAGATAAATCCAATAGCTTGTCACTTTGTTTGGAAAAATGTTCGAAGAGAAGAAATATAGATATATTGAAAAAATATCGAATTTTTACTAATCTTCTTTGGAAGAAGAAAAATATTTCGCATTTTTCTGTTGAGAACGGGAGCATCAGCCCAGACAGCACCAGATATTCCATTAATCTCCCTATCATACTCCTTTCGGTATATTGGAATATTCTAGAAATAATCTGGAATATTCCGGAATATCTGTGGAATATTCTCTAAATATGCGAATGGGAATTCCTCAGATAATCATAGAATATATCCAAAAGAATATTCTATGTTGAATGTTCCTGGAATATTCCAATAAACATATTCTAAAATAAAAAAAAGTGAACCAAGTAGGGATCGAACTCGTGACCTCAAGACTATCTGAGCAACGCCTTGACCACTAGGCCAGTAATTGAGTTGAATAATTTTATACATATCAAGTTCTTGTGAGAGCATTGTTCGAAATCGGATCATAAACACTTTTTGTTTCAAAATCTCCTTACATCTAATTGATGTTCGATACTCACATCTCTGAAATAATAAATGGTATTTATGTGTTGAGAAACATAGGAATATTCGTGGAATATTTCATGAATATACACCACAAAATATTCAGTTGAGAATATTTCATGAATATACCGCACAGAATATTCAGTTGGGTATATTTCATGAATATACCCCACAGAATATTCAGTTGGGTATATTTCATGAATATCCTACAGAGAATATTCAGTTGGGAATATTCCTGGAAGATTCATACCTGAATATTCCTGAACATGTCCGACTATTCACTTTGGAATATTCCTTTCAGATGTTACAGAGGCATGTATATATTCTAGGAATAATCGATGAATATTCGGAATATACTCCTCCTTTTTAGCATATTTAGAGAATATTCTATGAATATCCAGTGCTGTCTGGGAGATTCGTTCCCGAAACGTTCACAAGACCGAATCGTCTTGTTCGATAACCGAATTGGGAATTGAGAGACATAAATGATGTTGATAGGAACTTGCAAGTTATACAGGGTGTCCCGAAAGAACCCTATCAAACTTCAGCGGCTTCTACGACCAAACGACATAGGAATAAAAGTTACAATGAACATGAGTCGAGAAATGCCTCCTGAGGGAGCTACGGCCCCCTAAAAGGGGGCTCCTGAAGATAAAATTTCTTGAATATTTCCGAAACACCACGTAATAAAATGATGCAATTTGGTACAAGAGCTTATAACTTCCCATGCCCAATGCGGTGAGCATAAAATCATCGCAAAGTTTCATTCAGGAGTGTGTAATACCGAGTGGGACTTCATTAAAAATTGCTCGAACTTTTTTGTATGCATAATATTCGACAAATTAATCTCGAATTATGAAAATCCACACCGTTTCACAAAAAAAATGGTCCTGTTGCCAATTTTCAAATCATAGTGGATACAATAAAATCAACTATTTTTTTTTCGCCAAACAATTTCATAGAGGCGCGTTGATCGTAGAAGCCGCTATAGTGAAGTTTGGCAGGCTTATTATTTCGGGACACCCTGTATATAAGTTCAGCAAAGAGGGAGTGACTTCAATCTGATTGGCTCGAAAGATCAATAAATTATTATTTAGCCCGAACATTGTCGATCTAAATGAAAACCTAGTAGGCGACCTAGTGCGAGGAGGTATAAATAAGTCGTTAATCTATGATAAGCTAGAAATCCTCTGACTTAAGCAACATAATGTCAAGAAAAATTAATAAGATACCTACATAAATTATTGCTTGGCAAAGGGTTAATGGAAAACTAAATAGTATAAAAGTGACAATTTTTTCAACATTTCTGAGTATGAATTATAGCTCAAAAACTATTCATCGCCATAACAACTCAGAACTGCAACAAAATCTGTTTAGTTTCTTAAATCTATTTATACTTATATCGTTCAGAAGTCTAAGAAAAATCTTCCTTAATACAACAGGGAACTTGTCTTGTATTTAATTGATTCTCCCAAAATTTACTGCCAAAATTCAGTATAAAAGCAGGAAAAATTCGAATAGAATGAGACAGTCAGAAGTTAGAAGAAATCAGTCTCCAATACGATATGTCTCAATCACTATATGGAATCAGCAGTCTAGGTCAGTGTGCCGGCTTGGTGCCGGCACAGAATTGGTGGTGACGGTGTAATGTATTGTTGGTTGCATAGTAAACTGTCATGTGGCTCCCAATCCATCTCAATAATCTCAATATTCTCTCAATCATGTTGAAGACTGAGATGTTTATAATTCCTATTGAAGACAACTTGAAGACCCTGTATAATAACCCTGTGAGTTGAATGTATACATTTTCAATTTTTTATTCTCGAATACTATCTGAGCCTCAAGAACTGTGCTCAGGATCCAGGATCGAGAAAAAACATTTTTGGCCACAACCGCGACTAATTCTTCGGGAATGTTCGGAAATTTTGGCTGCTATTTTTGAGACTTCTTTCACACCGCTTATCCATGGTGGATGCGAAACATGTGAAATTTGACTATTTGCAGTTGTCATCTTGAATGCTGTCATTGCTGTCAGGTCAAGTTGTCATCTGTTTGTCATTTTTCGAGTAAAAACAAAAACAAAGCGTAATCGTCATCTCAATTTATTTGGCTGAAAATGTGCAAGAGGAAAAAATTGGTTTGATTCAAGAAGTTCACAATGAAGACATCATTCTTGAGATAATGTGCATTCTAAAATGAATCGAAGGAAAAGGAAACGGAAAATTCAGTATAAAATAAAATGAAGTTCATCACCTCTATTTACATTTTCATTATATTCTTCACATCACAGTACAGTTGTACAACTAATGGGAGAGAACATCAAATAACTACAGAGGATATCATTGAATCACCTCTGTGCTGCAACCTCACTTCTGACAATTTAGAACTGAATTTCACATCCAAAATTGTGGAAAATGAATATATTGTTATGTTCAATGGCTACTACAAGAATCAGGCACGTATCAGCTATATAAACACTGCCCTGAACTCTTCTGGAATTCGTAAATGGAAAATAATTACTAGAGAAAATCCTGCTAGTGATTACCCTAGTGATTTTGATGTAGTTGTACTAGAAGACACTGAAAAGTTTGAGGGACTCAGTGCCCTCAATGATCATCCTGCTATCAAAAGAGTAACTGCACAGCGCATGGTGACAAGAACACTCAAGTTCATAAACCCAGAGTATGTAAGATTTGGTAGAACTAGTTTGAATTCAAAAAATCAGTTCTGGCAAGCTACTGGAAGACATACAAGCAGAAGATTATTGAGAGCTATCCCTAGACAGATAACCTCAGTTTTACAAGCAGATTCCTTATGGAATATGGGGATTACAGGAAAAGGAGTGAGAGTGGCTGTTTTTGATACAGGGTTGTCTAAGTCACATCCTCATTTTAGAAAAATTAAAGAGAGAACAAATTGGACAAATGAAAAAACCTTTGATGATGGCTTGGGACATGGCACTTTTGTTGCTGGTGTTATTGCATCAAGCAAAGAATGCTTAGGCTTTGCCCCAGATGCAGAACTTCACATTTTTAGGGTGTTCACCAACAATCAAGTGTCTTATACCTCTTGGTTCTTGGATGCCTTCAATTATGCAATCTTGAAGAAAATCAATGTCTTGAATTTGAGTATTGGGGGACCAGACTTCAAGGACCATCCTTTTGTAGATAAAGTCTGGGAATTGACAGCTAATAGGGTGATAATGGTTTCTGCTATAGGAAATGATGGCCCACTGTATGGTACTTTAAATAATCCTGCTGATCAGATGGATGTGATTGGAGTGGGTGGGATTAATTTTGAGGATCAGATTGCCAAGTTCTCTTCCAGGGGAATGACTACTTGGGAGTTGCCTCAAGGTGAGATATACATTGAGAATTTCAAGAGGTTTTAGAGTATCAATAATATTCCTATGGTATCTAACACATTATTTTCTTTGAGATGTGAGAACCAATAGATGCACTAGTGCTCAAAATGGGCCCTTTCAAATCAACACTGTTGATCTGTGAAGAAAAAATGTACCAACATCCCATTTACATAAAATTGTAAAATAATTTCAACAGAATCATTGTAATTAATTGCTTGAGGGAATGTAAAGAAATGTATTAACATGATGATTCTGATAGAATGATTATGGACAATATTTGTTTATATGTCCATGGACAATATGGAATTGAACCAAAATATAGTTTGGGATGTATTTGGTAGGTAAATCAAGAAAAATTTCATAGAAACATATGTTATGGAAAGAAATTGGCAATTATTTCAGTTCTATCTATTATTTATTAATTATGGAAATATGATCAGTGGCATCCTAAAAAAAGTTCTATTGGTTTTCTTCAAACAGAATGCAAAGCACCTATTCCTATATATTGAATAAAATGGTATGACATGTCTTCCATAAACATTTGCTGTAGTATTCAAGCTGTAGTAAGGGTATGTGTACCTCAAAATAGTTGATGATTCTGTAGGTTTTTATTCCACTTTCTTTCCCAACAATAATGGGAGACACTAGTCAAATCTTCATCATTTTGAGATTGCTTTTTTTCTGAATAAATGGTATTTGATGCAATCATATGTTATTCAAAAGCATCACAAATATTTTGTTTATAATGGATCTAATTCCCATAAAACCAGATGTGATATCCAATTGTTATTTCATGGAAAATATGGGTTCCAAGGAACAGTATCTTCCATCCAAAAACCAACTGGATTCCGTTGTCACCCATTATATGTATTCAGTATGAATAAAATAGATTATTTTATTTCAAAAAGTTCATCTGTAAATCTCAACAGTGAAACGGTGATTGATTTCATTCTACAAACAATTACTTTCCCAGTGCTAAAATGATGAATCAAAACCAAATGGAATCAGATCATAACAATAGAATGATTTCACATCATATTGTAATTGTCAAGTATACCTCAGATTAATTTTACGGCATCCTATTTGTTTATCAAATTCACTTTGATATCATGATTGGTATTCCTTGTCATCCTCATGGAATCATCAGGACAATATTAAAAAAAATATGGCTATGCAATGGCTAATAAATTTTGTGGAGACGACTTCCATACTTTCCTTTCTTGATCATTTTGCTTCACTTTGAGTATGGACTTCTTCAAGAAATTGAAAAAACAATTGTTATTTATTATTCAAGGAAAAGAAGTGTTAGATTTTGGCTAGAGATTGGCCGATGTGATTTTATGGGGTCGATACCGATATACGCATGGCCGATATCGGCCGATAAATTTTGCTGTTAATTCGTTGCTTTATAAATGAGGTGAAACTCAATTATATACTGTTAACGTTCAATACGGCAAAACCTCGGGCAAAACCATAACAAGCTTGAATATTCCTTAATCTTCCAGTGGTGACGTGGTTTTACGAAAGATGAGCGATGACGTGGGTCTGAGAGAAATTCAATAATTTTTTTGTCATAAAAAAATATATACAATCAAAATAGTGTCAGTTGATTTATTGTGAATCACATCATATTATTGAAGACATTCAATTCAAGATCATCTTCATCGGTCATACATTTGTTCTGCTCCTAATATAGACGATTTCTGTTAGAAGTAATTCCATTTGTAAAAGAATATATACCTGTCTTTGATTGAATATGCTCAATTTTCCATAATATGAATTATGACGAAATAATAATAATAATAAAAAGTTGGGTCTCCTTCCAATCACACAGGTGGTTGAAAATAATTGTCATTGAGTTCAAGGGAAGCGCCATCATCGATAATATAACTCTTGTGAATTTAAACTTGTCATCTCTTCAAATGAAAAAAACTACAGGCTGTTATATGTTTCCTGTCGTCACCCGGTATAACTTGTCAGAACTTTAAATATTATTTTTTGACCTTGGTGCGTCACTTTCACATTTTCAATGACTTCCTTGTTAAATTTTGAATAAGAACGAACTTCTTTCTCTATGCAGAATTTGTGATTCAATTTCTTTGAAAGATCCTTAGTAACTGAAATATTTAGCTAAGTATTTATTTATTTGTTAAACGGATACCAATAATGTACGCCGATATTGTGCTCTACATATCCACCGATATCGGCCAAGGAATCCGTTATGGTCGAACCCTAATTTTGACGTTACTCGAGCAAACTTTTTCCCGCCTCTGAAAAGAGTTTTTTTAACCCTTTGAGGCCGGAATTTATTTACTTGCTATATTTCAATAACAAATTGCATAAATTCATTAACTAGTGATTCGATAAGGTGTATATGCATATTATTTCATTTTCAGACCTTCACTGAAGGCTTCAAACATACCAACAAAGTACATATACTACTACTATTTCAGTTACTAAAATAATCACAAATGTTGATTTGGAATGAAATTCAAAAGAACAGTTCTTCTTGTCGCTGAGGCATAATGTCACATCACAAGTAGAGCGAAATAAGAACGTTTTATTATCTGAAAGAAAAAACTACATAGTTACCATGTAGCCTTGTGTCCACAACGCGAGACCACCAACTTAGCGGCGATAAATCAAATTATTCTTTGGTGCAATTTCTTTTTTTTTTCTAAAATGACATTCTTCAATGAGTTTTTCACTATTTTGCAAAAGAAAACTTGCCATATCGAAATACCCGAAAAATTAACAGTTTATTAGCAAATGCCGTATGAAACCACGTTCATTAGTCTAAAATAAATGTCTCCTCCTGCGAATAAGCGGGATATTTCGCGTTCCTATTAGAAGTAGGGACATTTACGCATTTTCTTCAATATGTGGCTACAATATGGATACTCTAGGCGACTGAGTAAAAATTATTAGTGTTGTGTCTCCATGGCGCGACCACTAGTACACAAAGGGTCCACACACACACCACGCCTCCCGAAAGGTTGAATACCCAGGATCAAGTGCCGCCATATAACTAGCTTACGTTATATGATAGCTCCTCATCCTAATGTCTATCCACCCCCACTCACTAACGAGTGGACTTCAACCTTATGCATTTGGCAATCTGCATATGTTTTATAAAACCCCTTACTTGGTTTCAGTCTTCCGACTTTTAAACCTTTTTGTCTAATGTGTGTTTCCTAGCCTAACTTTGCGTGGTGGTTCCCTACCATAATGGGAAGCAAATTTGAGTTTATGTATTATTATTATTATTGGTTTAATTTTTATAGGGTATCAAAGGAGAAGCTCTTCTGTATAATAATCGGATGATTATTATGCAACTTTTATTGATATTGATTTACTTTTTGTTTGTTTATCTTATATTTGGTGAATTGGGCGTCTGTACTTTATTCTTCCGAAGCACGGTCTTGATTTAGTTGTCTGTTAGTCAGGTCGTGCAGTTGCGCGTTCTTGTGGATTTCTGTTCTTCCGAATGTAATCTCCGCGTGTTGTTTTATGTAGTCGAAAACAAAGTGTTAAATGCGTCTCCTTTTTTATAATAAGTCCTCCATTCCCCCACTCAAACATTTCCAGGTTACGGCCGCCTGAAGCCCGACATAGTCACCTACGGCGCAGCAGTACGCGGCTCCCACATCAAGGGCGGCTGTCGCACGCTCTCCGGCACCAGCGTCGCGTCGCCCGTCGTCGCCGGCGCCGTCGCTCTGCTCCTCAGCGGCGTGCTGGGCCGCGGCGACGACGCCGTCAACCCGGCGGCGGTCAAGCAGGCGTTGACAGCTTCGGCGCGCCGGCTGCCCGGCGCGCACATGTTCGAGCAGGGCCACGGCAAACTGAATCTGGTCAAGGCCTACCAGATACTGAGCAGCTACAAGCCACAGGTGGGTGGTCCACAGACTAGTTCACGTCAATAACATTACCAATATAATATCGTTAATGAAAATGTTGAAAAGAAGTGGCCAGATTCGAGCATTGTGGTACGCCAGATGTTGCAAGATATTCGATAGACTTGTAGCCGTTCAACTGGACCTATTGTTTACGATTAGTGAGGTATGATTTGAATAGGTTAACTAGAGAGATAGATAAGCCAAATTCTTTCAGCTTGTTTATTAAAATTCCGTGGTCAAGTCTGTCGAAGGCTTTGGAGAAGTCGGTGTAGATGACGTCTGTTTGCGCATGAATCGCATGATTATCAATATTCTCAGAAATGTATTGAGTAACTGTTATCAGATTCGTAACTGTTGACCGACCTCTCATGAAACCATGTTGATGGGGAGAAATAATTTTGTTGATGCTATAGGACAGATTTCGTTACAGAAGAATTTCGAAAACTTTGCAAAAGTTGCATATAATCGAAATTGGTCTATAATTCACAAGGTTATTTTTATCACCCTTCTTATATATAGGACATACCTTTGATAGCTTCCAAGTTGTCGGAAAGTATTCAGATTTAAGACATATATTGATCAGAATTGATAAAGATCGGGCAAGTGCTGAGGTGCAGTCTCTAATTACGAATGCTGGTATACATTCTGGTCCCGCTGTTGATTTTGTTTTCAACAATTTGATAGCATCATAGACCTCCTTCTCACTGAATTCAGTTATAAGTATAAGGGGCAAACCGTCTTCACAACCATAATTGGGTGTGGAATCGTGCTGCGTTGACAGAGTGTAGGATTTACTGAACATGGCGGCAAACCCATTTAGAATTTCTGGAGGCTCTTGCAGCAATTTGTCGTCATACACCAATCTGCTGCTAATTTTCGATACGAGAATTGATGAACTGCCAGAATTTGTTTGGATTGGAAGATATTTCAGCTTCGGACCTTTGCACATAGTTTTTGTATCAACTCATCAAAAGATTGAATATCATTCTCATTTTCAAAGTGGCGCCATAAAATGGATTTCCTGCGTCTTATAATACCAGCATCAAACCATGGCGGATACTTATTTTTATTCCGAAAGTTATACTTTGGAACACAACGATCAAAGATATTAAACAGTTTTCCATAGAAGTAAGTGCAAGCATCCTCAGCATTGACAAATACTTCCAAAAATGTCCAGTCAAAAGTTGACATCAACTCGTACATTAAAGGAAAACTTGCTTTTCCAAAGTTATAACTATTTTGGAAGAATGAATCGAGGTTTTTTTCACGCTGACGATTGAGATTGAGGGAACAAGAGATATCAAATGCCGGGTGATGCTTGTCCTCCCTTACTACAGGGTCTAGAGATTTCTCCACCAAGCAAAACTGGTTACAGAATACTAAGTCTAGGAGTTCATTAATAACACCAATAAACGATTGATTGATTGATTGAATGTCCCCCGGAGCTTCTTCATTCTAGAATTTATCGATATTTCCTAGAATTTCTTGGGATTTCCAGAGTTTTCTTTCGAACCACTAGGAATTCCGAGGCACTCCCTAGAATATTTTGGAATATCTTTGAGATCCCGAGATTTGAATCATTCGCAGGCGAGCCTCAGCCCCAGCTACATCGACCTCAGCGAGTGCCCGTACATGTGGCCGTACTGCACGCAGCCCATCTACCACGGCGCCTTGCCCGTCATCGTCAACGTCACCGTCCTCAACGGGCTCGGTGTGTCGGGCAGGATCGCCGGCCGCCCGCGCTGGCGCCCCTACCTGCCCGAGCACGGGCGCATGCTCGACGTGGCGATCGCCCACTCCGACCACCTGTGGCCGTGGTCGGGTTGGGTGGCGGTGTTCGTGAGCGTGGCGGCGGAGGGGGCGGCATTCGAGGGGCTGGCCCAGGGGCGCGTGGAGGTGACGGTGGAGTCGCCGCCCGGGCAGGGGGAGGTGGAGGTGAGGAGGAGTACGGTGGATTTGCCGATAAGGTGAGGATTGTTCGAGGCACTCTAGCCGAACCCATTGATTATTGTGTCTGAACCATAGACATATAGGGTGTTTCAAAACTGGGTATCAAGAGTTCAGGTGCTTTTAATTCATTTAAATAACAGAATTCACATATTTCAATTAAGGAACAAGCATACATAATGAATATACATGAAAAATGTATATTATATAATCAATGTATGATAAATGAAATGAAACCATGAAACATTATGGTTTATAACCCTTTTGCTCGTGCTGTCCATTGAATGAACTCAATCCATATTTTGTTTTCTGAGTTGAAACAATGAAATTATCACATCATTTCATAATGTATCCATTTAACCATTCATAATATTGATTTGACAATGTGCTGGCCTCTAAAATACAATGCGAGTCATACAATACAGCTCAACTCATAGAAAACTTTCTGTCCGAGCTGAATAGCTTTTAATTGTATAAATCGAAACTTGATACAAATGAATGGAACATGTTGTTGATTGTTGTTATCTATTGATGATTCACCCAGTATTACTCCATGGAATGTATGAAAATCATATATTTTTGAAATCAACGAAAATCGCTCTTTTGAAAAATGAAATGAAATATAGGATGTTCCATTTGAAAAAAATTAACATTTTCACAACCCCCGTATATGGACTGGAGGTATGATGTATGGAGGGGACCATTCAAAAGAGAACAAAATCTGATTTAAGATTTTGTATTGAAGTTTCCAATATCTTATTTAGTTTTCGGGATATTGAGTGTTGAAAACGTGAAACACATATTCAATCACCCTGTACAAACAGTAATCTGAGGAATCCCTTGATTAATGATAAATTGTTGGAAGTTTTACAAAATTGCATTTCTGACATTGAACTCATCAGCAAAGACGATAGTGGTGATAGTTGATACGTCGAATAGACGCCGACGCCCGACCAATCTCAGATGTACTTAAATGACAGTTCCTTGTTTCTAGGGCCAAAATTATTCCGACACCTCCGAGAAATAAACGAATTCTTTGGGATCAGTACCACAATTTGAGATATCCTCCAGGGTATTTTCCCAGAGACAATCTAAAAGTGAAGAATGACCCCCTAGACTGGAATGGTGACCATATACATACCAACTTCAAAGACATGTACCAAAATCTAAGGAATACTGGGTATTATATTGAAGTTTTAGGTAAGTTAGATAACTCTATAGCAATGGTGATACATAATTTTCCAAAAAATCATAGATCCTCCTTTACATAATATGTATTCAATATGATTTTTCAGAATATTTTTCAATAATTTCTTCGAAATGTTCAATTATATTACTCAGATATTCAATCAGCTCGTTTCAAATTCTTTGATTTCTTAAGAAATGCAATGCAAACAGTGAAATAGTATATGGTTTAACGAGCACGGAATGAGAAATTAGCATTTCGTGCGATTTATACACTATATTGTTTCTATGGCTGAAACAGATAACAGTGAAATTTTTGATTTCTTCGGCTTGTAGCCATCTGATTTTCCCTTAAGCAATTCTCATCTATTATCAATCAATCAATCAATAAAAAATATACTTTTCCGTCGACCTCGTATTAACGACTAAGTTTAATGTATATGAAATCGTTCATTAATGACCCCCTATTAATGAACGATTTGTCTATTAATGTACGATTGTTTAATAGGCAACCAAACATACACCGCATGCATTCATTGTTTGTGCTATAACTTACGGAATCTGCATTTAAATCGAGAATATGGATTTCATTGAAGATTTTCTGTTAACGGGTTCACCTTTCCAAGTTTCTCACACGATTTTAATCCCTGTTTTCTAACACAAGGAATTTATTTTCTATGTTGATCATTTCGACAAATGTCAAATGACACTAATGTCAGTGACAAGGCTACTGGGTGAATCTTAGCAGTTTCCAGATGAATGATGAATTCGCGAACCAAGTTTTCTTCATTGCAGGAGAAATGAGAAATATAGTGGACGGAAAAATTTTGTAACCAACTTGTATATTTAAAGGCGATTAATAAACTAGTTGGTTAAATAACTATTATTGTCAAAGAAAAAATGTTCTTATCGACAAAGATGGTTGATACATATTCATTTAGAGTCTCATAATAAATAAGACACGTCATGAAAGATAGAAACAATGTAAAGTACAGAAAACACATATACATATAAAAGTAAAATCAATACAAACATAATTGAAATAATATAACACAACAATGTTTATGGTCAAGTAAAGAACCTAAATATAATATAATGTATCTATATTTATTCATAAAATGAAGACTTGAATCAAAATGCCTCATGGAAATAAAAATTGTCGGGTACTCTTAGTTAATAGTGATATCGTCGAAGAATTCCTGGAGATTATAATATGCTTTTTTCATTAGTATTTCTTTCACAGCCTCTCTAAATTTACTGAGTAGAGGAATAGTTCTTATGGCTTATGGTAAATGGTTATACATCTTTCTGCTATTGTTGATAATCGAATGCTTCCTGAGAATAGAATTGGGGATAGGCAGGTTCAAGCTGGATGTATTTCTAGTGTTATAACGTGCTTCAGTGTTTACGTTTCCAGAATATTTCTTATGTATCAGACATACAGTTTCGTGGATGAAGATACATGGTAATGTGAGAATGTTGTGAGCCTGAAACAAGGGCTTGCAATGGTCGCGAAATTTTCCTTTACACATGTGTCTTACAGCCCTTTTTTGTAGTACGAATATAGAATTAAATAATTGCTGCTTACAGACTCCCCAGAAAGTGACCCCATACCGTAAATGCGATTCCACCAGCGAAAAATATACCATCCTTGCAACTGCAACACCTAACTCATTTGCAACTACTCTAACAGCGTAGCACCCCGATGCTTATTTTTTACTTAGGTTCATCACATGGCTATCAAATTTCAATCTGTCATCAATATGTAGCCCAAGAAACTTACAGTTAGGTTTACTTTCTATTATAACCTGTGGACACAATGAGAGATTATCTATGGAATATTTGAATGTCATGATATTAGTTTTGGATAGGGTCAGTGAGAGCAGGTTACAGTCGCACCATTCTTTAACTCTAAGCAGATCATCATGAACAGTCCTAGTTAATTCATCGACATTATGGTTATTCCATAGAAGTGTTGTGTCGTCAGCGAAGATCGTAAATGATCCACTTATGTTGATGGAAGTTATATCGTTAATGTATAACAAGAAGAGAATTGGGCCCAGCACAGATCCTTGTGGTACACCACAACAAATATCACCGAATTCTGAAGATTCTCCACATGTTCTTACAACCTGATTACGACCTGTGAGATAAGACTGCAGCCAGTTGTAGGAATTTCCTCTGAAACCATATTAGACAGAGCTGTCACTGCTTGAAATTTGACATTTCATGGGAGATGAGATTTTGTGAAATAATAACGCAATGGAGTCATTGTGATATCAGATACGGAAATAAAATTGATAACATACAAAGTACCTCATTGATTAATCAAGCAGAGTGAAACGGGCAATTTTGTGTTATAGCCGTAAAAAAACATGTTTGTCAGACAAAATTATATCTCGATGACGTAACATAAAAAGAAAAATATGTACACTTATGATCAAATTAATCAGATGGAGTCAAACAACGGAAAATTTGTTCCAGGATCTCCTTTCACTTGTTTTGACGCATCACAATACGGCACTCTACTCATAGTGGACCCGGAAGAAGAATTTTTTCCTGAAGAAATTTCAAAACTCAAACGTGACGTGGACTCTGGCTTGTCTGTGATACTGTTCGTCGATTGGTACAACGTCACTGTCATGAAAAAAGTTAAATTCTATGATGAGAACACTCGTCAGTGGTGAGTGAATAAGTACTTAATCATGTTTTTGTCTTTATTTGTGCAGGGCAGGAATCGTATCACAATTCTTGAAAAGTTTTGTGGAATGTGATATAGAAATATTGTTTTGTGTCAACAAATTTGGCTGATTTCAGTTTGTTTTTCGCTTCAAGAATTATTATAAGTCAACAAAACTTCTCATCTAACCTAACCTCGAAACCGAGTTTCTAATTTAAATTTCCCTCTAGTTCTCAAGCCTCCTTTTAATGCTGTTATCAGTTATAAACTGTGACAGGGAATTCAAAAAAATTGGTAAACTACTTTGGGAAAAAATGTGCATTACATTTAATTCAATAATGTGCATATTTACGTCTGTATTCAACGACAAGGTACTATAAATATACAGGGTGATTCTGAAATTGGGGCAATAAATGAAATGGATAGTGGAAGACGTAAAAACAAAACGTAATGAAAGAATACATTTTGGTATGAAAAAAAGTATTTTTGAAGATATTGAACTTCAAAGTTTGCCTGAAACTTTTGTAATCATTGATCAGAAGTTCATAGCCCAACCCAAGCTTTTGCTTTCGGCGAAATCACAATAAGCACCGGAAGTATCAATGACTTCAATGTTGCCGGACGTTCAATAATAGATAATAGTCAAAATAGTATGGTGGAAGCGCACAATTTTGGAAAAATTTTCAAAACCATTTTTTTGTGATTTATCATGTCATTATGTCTCATAGAACACCTCATTTTATTTATTGCCCCAAATTTCATGTATGAAGAATAAGCCGCTCTGATTTTGTAATTATGACAGCGAAAATAGTTTGCCCTAACTATTCCAGCGACTAAACGGAACTAGTCACTGGATGGTATTAGTTTGATAAGAGTTCGGACACAGCTGAACTTTTGTCCTTTTCTATTTTCTATAATCCAATGGTTTAAGTGAATAAAAGAATGAGACATATATTCTGCTAAGGTAGGTATTCTCAATATACAGGAAGTAACATAAATACGTTCAAGTGAATTATCTGAGACAATTTTAAGAAATAAAGTCTATATAAGCTTGTGTCCGGAAATGTTTCATTTTGGAGATGCAGGGTGTTGAATCACAGAGAACAAATCATTTTTCGATAAACATTTCCTTGGAAAAAAAGTAGTTTATTTTGACGATACCTACCAAATACTTTTTTCTGTAAAGTTCTCAGCAACTTCACTTAGCGCCCTAGGAGCTAAGTAACATGGATCGATATAGAAAATATCTCCAAAATGATTACCTCCAGCGTAATTAGGGTCGTTATAATAATTTCCTTGATACATAAATAACTATTCACTTTTCACTGTTGAATTGTGAATTTGATCGGCACCAAAAACGCCATTCAATAATATAACACGTTGTAATTTCCTTGCTTTTCTTAGTTTTGTTTTCAAATTTCCAATTTCATTATGTAATTTCACGGTCATTTCCTCTTTCCATGATTATTTTGTTCTGTATTTTGTGTGATGATAATAATGGAATTTTGTTCTTGAAATCGTCTGCTTTGTAAATTGATGGAATAGCAGATTCTCTCAACCAAATTTTGAAATCTTCTGTTTGAAACTGGGCCTAAAATATAGTTTCATTCTGATCAGATGCTGTTATAAGAAGTGAATTTTAATGAGTACCTCACAAATTTCGCTCGTCTTGAAATTGATTTTCCACCCAGGCCGTTTCATATCTTCCTTCCATAAGCGAATGGTTGATATTTGTTTTGGAAAATTGAATAAATGATATCCATTTTTATCAGAATTGGCACAATTTATTACACAGCAAGTGATTTTCATAGCTGCTTTTTTCTCGAAAGTATAATTATTAAATTTTATTTCAAATCTGACGTTCATAAAATGTATTGTCAAATTCAAACAATTTTGAATAAAAAGCGCGGGACGACTATGGTGCTATTGTCACAATGCAAGGTGTGTAACTTAATGAATCTTAACATTCAAAAACCCTAACTGTTGTCATTTCTGTGTCAGAACTCTTATCAAACTAATACCATTCAGTATCTCTGAACGGAACCTAACATCTGGAAACATGACAACCAAAATTGTAAACAAATTTTTGATGACGTTTCTGTAATTTTTTCTCAAACTTGCGTCGTCTGAAAAGTATCAATCTGTGGGAATGTCGCGATTTGGAGTCTTTTAGTGTTGAAATTAAAAAAAACATCTACAAAATAATGTGATTCAAATAACATTCGTTTAATTTTCTCATCAAATTACTCTTTCAATTTTTTTCTTGGGCCTAATAAAGTTTTATTGCCTTCAGGAAATTTAACTCAAAAACTGCCTGAAAAAATAACTTGTCCTAAGGAATAGACATTTTTCGAAGTAAATTTTTTTCGATTAAAACAAGAAATAATATTCTCATTGAAATTTTGAGTTTAAGTCGACAAAAAAGCTCTTGTGTAATTATAAGGAAAAAAATAAAAATGTACAGGTGGATGCCAGATACTGGTGGATCTAATGTACCGGCCGTCAACGATCTATTGGCGTCTTGGGACGTACAGCTGGGCAACAGGGTGTTCGAGGGGCACTTCAAATTGAACGACCACGAGGTGTATTACGCTTCGGGCACCAGCATCAGGAAGTTTCCCGAAAATGGGATTGTGATTTCGCGGCAATTGTCGGATCAGGGGGCTCAAGTGAGTTTTGAATCGAAATTTCGCTTTATTCAGTTGTCCCAAATATATTCCATGGTTGTTTATTGAAATAATGTTACACTAGAAATAGTTCACCTACATTTTCTTATGAATCGGTTGCTTTTATTTTAAATCGTTACCATTCCCACTCAGCAAATTTCTGATTGATTTTGATTTGAATTTTAGGTACCTGGTCAAAAGCAAATTGTAAAAATTTGATAATGCAGTGTGTTGTTTTTAATCACATTGTTGGACTTTTGTAAAAAAAAAACTAGATTTATTCTCAATAGTGCGCCAATAACTTAGCTAGTAGAAGGAGAATATCTTAACAATATTCTTGGTATTTTATTACTTATGTTCCCCTCAAAAACAATGAGCACTCAGGCCTGTGGTAGTTCCAGTATCAGTCACTCTTCATCTTCAAAAAACTTCCCGATTTTCACCAATTTGGTTACAGGTTCATTAGCGATAGCTACAGACAATATCCAGCTATGAAAAAGCACAAATGAGCATTTCACTGTTCAAACGGAATCATTTCGAAAACATATCCGATACGAGTGTCATTCATGACGTCTAGCTTCTCTACAATCACGTGGATTTCGATAATCTCAATATTGAGAATGTACTTATTTGTATTCACAAATTGTCTGTGTATTACGATTTTCCATTATTCAAAAATCAACGAAGGGCTTACATGTTTTGATTGTCCACCAGATCTCGCTACTGAGGCGTGAAGTCTTGAATTATATTTCTTCTTTCCATCCATTTGGTCTTTTTCAGGTTTCATGAAATCGTATTTGTTATTGTAGAAGTTGTGCGTGAAGCTTCACATCGTATTTGTTCATTTTGAACACTCTGTTTCTGCAAATTTTCGGATAACAAGGTCTCAGCCTTTAGGTCTATCCTCGAGCTCCTGTACGCCGACTCGTGAAACTGGAAATGTTAGCCTTTAATAAAACCACCTCGTTGACTTGTATATTGAATAAGATATGAAGGGCTTATTGTGAAACAATGACATGCCTCAGAAAGGTAAAAATGAGGTATTTGACTTTGAACGTTTAAAATAATATATAAAATCTAGTAACAACTTTAAAGGTTTCAGTTTTATATAGGTCAATGCTTCATGCCCTATGCGACTATAGTTAACAAAAATATTAATAAAATTACTTCAAACTTGAGAAAAAACAGGCTTCATTTGAAAAAAATGTGACTTGTTACATTATCCTATTCAGAATGATTACCCAAAATCTTACAAATCGTTGCCCTAAATTTTGTCGAAATTTTCTATTTGTTCCCAAATAGCACTAATCATTTCTTTGTCTCCATCGACTTGTTGAAATTTTTTCGGATGTGTTTGTTTTTTTTCTCTCTTCTTATTAATTCACCTACAACAAAATGCAATAATATAACAAGACACGTGACATGCCACTACAATAATACTTTATTATGCTTTATTTTAGAATGATAATAATGTGACAAGCCATATTTAAGAAAAAAATTCATACTTCTGTATTTTTATCACTTGAGTGACTTCGAGATTGTTCATAGTTAGTGTCATGGTCACTGTCATCGAATGTCGACTCAACTTCACTGATTTTCTTGCTATAATCGTCAGAATTCATAGCATTATCGGAACAGCTTCCGCTCCTGTCGACCATTTTGTGTGGCTTGTCATTATGTTGGGTAGGAACTAGAGAAAAAAATAGACCCATGCAATAGTGTGACTATAGTTTTTTCGTGCCATTCAATAGGGAGTTAAAGCAATGCAGAATGCGTAAGCATAAACGTAGAATGTGACATCTAAGCATGCGCAGTATGCGAGTTGCCTACGCCAGGAGATACGTCTGACATATGGCGCTAAACGCAAATCGTATTGAACCGAAGGCGTTACCTATCTAAGCGTATACAAATGATAACTATGCGGTTTTTACTTCAACTTCACTTTTATCACATGAAATCATATTTATTGGCCGTTGGAACCTCATCCAAATGAATATAATGTGAATTACTGGAAAACTTATAGCTTCCTGGTATTCCTAGGGCTCTAGCTAATCTTGGAATGTCATTTTTCGCAAATCGAAATAGATTTTCACATTCTATTTCAAATAAATTGTTTAAATCGATATATCTATATAAATCCCTCAGATCACCTAAATTGTCGTTCTCATTCAGTACATCTAGGTCATCGTCACTATTAGCATCGCTATCATTATTGTAGCTTGGAATATCAAAAACTCTTTCATTTTGCAACGAAGGGTTTGCAGCAACAACACTGGAACAATATCTAAGCAAGCGAAGACTAGCAAATCAAAAAAATCGAATGGAAAAGAAAAATAGGGTTAAAATGAGTCTGGTCTTGTATCTTGTATGTACGTAAAACATGTACGTACCATACGGTAGCTTTAACGCTAGTTTTCATTGAATACGTACGTATTTCTATTCACGTTTACGTCCATACGCAATTGCAAGTTTTTGTATTGGCTTTAACTCCCTATTAACGAAGGCCCGAAATAATTTTGTAGAGGCTTGTTATACTATCGCTTCAACCGAGAAGAGCATTAACTCATTTTGGACTCTTTGTGTGGCTTGTCTTAATTTCACAATAAGCCCTTCATATGATAATTCGAAGATCCTGGAGGAGCCCGACTCCGCCAAACACAAAACGCCGATCCTCGGCCTCCTCCAAACGAAATCGTCCGACAAGAAGAGCGGCCGCCTCATCGTCTACGGCGACTCCAACTGCATCGACGCCAGCCACCTGGAGCAGCCCTGCTACTGGCTGCTGGACGCCATGCTCGAGTACGCGTCCACCGGCCACATGCCGGCGATATTCAAGGACAACCGGATGGCCGGCTGGGAGGACGCGGCGGAGACCGAGGTTCCGCGAAGGATGGAGGGGAATCGGCTGTACCGATATTCCAAGGTTAGTGCAAGGGTATTATTTTCATTTGATTCACTGGATGGTATTAGTTAGATAAAACTTACCGCCCTGTATATCTTTTGATCTGCGAAGATTACAGTTTTCGGAAAAAACAGGTCGATTTAGATATCGATGTCATTGTTCACAGGAACTATATACAGAGTGAACTCTTTGATAGCTGGCAACATTTCACAAGTACGGTCCTGGATTTTTTTCAATTCTGTATACCTCAGTCTATTGGTGTTGAAGTGCCTAATGTTCCATGAAAAAATGAACTAAATCAAAGATGGTGTTAGAAAGTTGTGACAAAAATATTTTTTCGCTGAATCCTATAAATCACCCTGTTTATTATTGCAGAAGAGAAGGAATACTCCAGATAGCAATTCGATATTCCCCTCAGGGGCCTCTGTTCGTGGTAGGAGTATGTATAGTACCTCATGACTTACCCTGTATACGAAATAAATATTTTTTCACCTGGTTGAATTGATCATTGATAAACCTTCAATTTTATGTATCTGAAAGTAGGGGGTCTCATTTGAGATTTCGAAGTGGGGGTGTCTGGGGGTGACGAAGGTGAACATAGTATTCAATTGATACTGTTATTTTACTTTCTCCTCGATATCTCACTCGACCTGTTTTTGCCGAAAATTGTAATCTGCGCAGATCAGAAGATATGCAGGGTAGTAAGTTTTGAAATGAATGCCCTGTATATCACAATGGCTTGAGTGAACAAAAGAATAAGAAAGATATTCTGTTATTTGTCTTCAATTTCCCTAGTAGCGCCTGATTGTCAGATACGCTTTTAGAGGTTAGATTTTCTGTCAAATAAACCATTGTTGTAGATGGAAAATAGAAATAGGGTATAAACACCCACTTCAATTTATATAGCGATACACTTTTTGCAGAACAATAATAATTATTAAAATGAAAAGAATTCATGTAACAACATTTTAATATGACAAACTAGACAGATATGGATAATAAAACATGAAGATTGTTTCTTCTTTCCACCGTTTGCTGCATACACTTTTTACTGATAAATTTTGAATTCGGTTGGTATTGAAAAAGCCATCCAATGATATTATATTAAGTTGTAATTTACTTGATTTCCTCAGTTTCGTTCTCAAATTTTCAATTTCATCACGTAGTTTTCCTATCAATTCCTCTTCCTCTATGATAATTTTCTTATTATTTTTGGACTTTTTTTCAATAGTGTAAGAGAGTATCGTATCCAGGAGCTACGTACATATACGCCCTGTATAGTGCTTCTAGATTAATGAGTGTCGATCTATTGATGACACACGGGGTTATGTAAAAGGTGACGGGTATTTTGGGTAGAATTTATCGATGTATGAGTAATATTAAGTAGTTAAGAAGTAGCCGTGATACGGCTAGGTTGTATCTGATACCGATTGTGAATATAGTGGAAATCGTGGAGTGCCCAGAGTGTTTTATTCTAATAACCGTCCACCAAGCTAACAATAGTCTGTTTTGACAATGGGCCTAAAATTATGTTTCATTCCAATCTGCTGTTATAAGAAGTGAATTTTAATGTTTTTACCTCACAAATTTTGATTATTTTCAGTAGTAATACTATAAGTACTTCAAAATATTTGGGTTATACAAGTTATCGTTGCATATCAATTTCATTCAACAAAAACATTTTATTTCATCTTGTTACTTATATTTCATCTCACCATGATATCTGTTTTACTTTGAAAGTAATCATATTTCGCATAGTTGAAATTGAATGATTATTTCTATTATGATACATCGTTCTTGATGAGGTGGAAAGTTGAACTTTTAACAAATACTGAAGTATTAGCAAAACGCATGACCTTGATCTAAGTTCAAAAAAATCACCTGCAGTTCATATACACCCCACACATTTTTCCGTAAAGAGGCTCCATATTCGTCTTGCGCCTAGGGTTCCTAGCTACCTTACTCTTCCTCTGCATACACCGCCTGAACAAATGATCAAATTTACTACAAATGATCAACTTTAATGTCCCACTGAGAACACTGCGCGATATGCAACTCTTTCAAATTAAATTTCATGTTACAAATTATGGCTCTCACTGTCCTATATCTCGAAGTCTCAAAAAGATTAATGATTATAATCTAGAAATCTTCGGTGGATCACTGGATTTGTTCAAAAACACTCTGAAACGATTATTGTGGGTGTCACATCTTTTGTTGGAAATAATTCTGTAATGTATATTTGTGGATTTCTCTTTTTAGCTTGTACTGTTTAGGTAGATAAAATTAGAACTGAGTAGTCTTAGGCATTAGCTTATTAACTCATGTTCATGTATTTTTAATGTAATTTTTTCAGTTTTGGGGGTATCCCGTAAATAAATAAATAAATAAATAAAAAATAAATAAATAAATATGTCTCGCATCATTAGCATTGTAGCGACATCAAAAATTGAGAGAAAGAAGATTGAAAGTTTCGTTCTTCCTAATCAAAAATACTCTAAAGTCTAAATGCCGTCGTTCTCTTCCATTATTTTTTATTCGTTCAAGGTATTGGATGGGAATTTAGGCGAGTCACAGGCGAGGCCTATTCCGCCTTGCCCTCACTTGGTGTGGACTCAGCCGGCGCCTTTAAACGTGTCTGCGCCCACCAATCTGTACCAGTCTCAGAAACTGCTGTCTCTGATGGAGGATGTCGAGATACCGTTGCCGTTGGATAATGAAGTCAAAGGTATAACTGTAACTCTGTGAAGAGTGTGATATAATATGTGAAAAATAGCAGATCCAAAGACAGATCCCTGAGCAACTTCTGACTCAACTTTCATCTCTGAAAGTTCTTTTGTTTCAACTATCTGAACATGTCCTGATATGTACCATTCAAATCGTTAGTATAATTCAATTCATTTATGCACCGTATTGGTCTCCTTTACAGGACATTCGGTTTATCATAAAAAATCCTCAAATTGAACATACATGACACAAGACTATATAAAGTGACATTTTATAACCTGCCAACAGAGATGAAATGCCAAACTCTCTTCCCGTCACAGAAAAATAATTATTATTATTAAAAAAAACTTTGAGGTCGAAAAAGAGCACTTCTTGCAATTAATATTAGACTAACCCCTTCCAGACGCCTCCGGTCACGACGGCCGCGCCGACTTCATCGAATGGAGCTGGCGCAACAAGCCCTCAGAGCCGGCCAGCAAGGAGGAGCAATTCGACCTCACAATCGCTTTCCTCCTCTGCCTCTCGCTGCTCGTGATCTACTACAGCCTGAAGTGGTGCAGGCCGAAGCCAAAGAAACGGAAAGTTTGCAGGAAACTGATCGCATTGGTGCAATGCAAGAAGTTGTCGACTGTGTGAATGAGTGGAGTGAGTGCAGTGAGATTATGTAGGTGTAAGTTTTTATTCCGAAAGCGATCGTACTAAATTTTGAATTCACTTATTTTTATTTATATGTTGTAATAATGTGGATATTCTTTCAATCTGAAGTAAGGGTATGTTTTTCATTCCAACCAGTGGCGGCTCGTGACTTTCATGACAGAGGAGGCTGAATGATATGAGATTTATTGTGAAAAACAACTCTCTACTCACCCAAATCGATAACTTTAATGACATTCTGTTTACCAGTTAATCTGAACTTAATACTTGGAGAGATGTGTTCTTGTGATTTGCAGTGTCTATCCAATCTGCGAGGCAAATTTTTCAAATCATTATATCCTAATCGCCCCCAACATGATGACTTATCGGTTGAAAATAATACGCAGTACCAACAAAATAGCTTATTCCTTACCTCAGATCCCGTCAACCAGATATATTTTTTTATGATTATCAGAATTGAACGAATGATTTTGTTTGTTACCTGTTACAATCAGATTTGTTAATTCTGGTGTCGGACGTTTGTTTTTCACAATCAATTTATCTTCATAAGACAAAGCACTGAATGGGTTCACCAAAAAGTATTCCACTAAATCGCAATCGTTTAAAACACTCATTTTTCAGAAATTTATAGAGCCCCTAACCATTAACCTAATATAAACATAAACAATGCACTCGCGTTTGTCCGCAATTCGCGTAGCGATACGACAAACACGTGCTATTCGGGTGTATTCGGGCATTCGCATTGCGCGTAGGTTGCGCATGTGAAGGAGTCTAGCCTCCTATAGATGTTGCCAAGTTGAATATTTTACGCGTGATTTGCAGACTTCAACGTGGGCAAGCACTGTTGCCAATTAAAAAATATTCAACTAAAAACAGGAAATAAAATCAAAATCCATGTATTTTGGTGTCCTCTTAATGAGAAAGTATAAATAATATTAGTTTAAGGAGGAGGCTCAGCCTCCGTTGCCTCCTCTGAGGAGCCGCCACTATCCAACAGTTTGTCATGAGCATATTGAATATTGAAGATACATGACAGACTGACACACAATGAAATACGTTTTTGCATCAATGTGTTGTATATTCCATTGCAGAATCGGTTCCATCATGAATTCCATCAGAAAATTGGTGACGTAACGACAAGAAAGCTTATCTATCAGTGCGGTACATGACAGACTGACACACAACGAAATACGTTTTTCCATCAATGTGTTGTATATTCCATTGCAGAATCGGTTCCATCATAAATTCCATCAGGAAATTGGTGACGTAACGACAAAAAAAGTTATCTATACTTCGATGGAATGAATAACGCACCCTAACTGATATATTTCACTAGAACTGAACTGAATCAGTTAACTTGCGTTCTTTCGAAAGACTTTAATTCAATGGAATAATGATGGAAATAAGTAGATGGTGTGACGAGTGGAAATGAAAGGGCAAATGGCATTTTAGGTACGCGGAACATATGTAACAGTGGGATTATTCAACTCTGAATTCGAGAAATCTGCGGCAATTCAAAAAATTGACCGATGTCATGATTGTGCAATGTCGCCATCTATTTGAAGATCGACGGAACAATTGCTCCCGCTGTTCTCGAGAGGTCGAGTAAAATTTCTGAAACAAAAGCGCATCAGTAATTACACCATATCTTACTTCCATCATTGGTGGAATGCATGTTAACTGATTCAGTTCAGTTCAAGTGAAATAGTGCAGTGACTTCAGAACGAAAGAATAAAACAATTGATAGGTTGAAGTGAGTAGAATGATTAAAAAACTGACATTCTTCGACTTTATGTTCGTTTGTTTCTATACCCCATGTCGAATTAGTTCGAAAGTGCTGTAGACCGGGAGCCCACAACGTGTTTTTCGTGTCTCGTTTGTTCACACCCAGCAGTATAAGACCCCCTCTCCAAATTACACCTTTCACTACACGGATATGAGCTTGCCAAATAAAAATCGTGGACCAAAAGGTGGGGGCCGCATGGGTGAAGTTGTATTAAAAATCCCGGGGTCTCGAATCACTACTTACCGTTCGACGTATGTCGCAAGTTATTGTAATTGAAAAGTTTGGGCGGGCGGCATTCTATGAAAGAAATTCTTCTTGATGATAATATTTCTCACATCCTGATTTTGCCGCATATTGATGTCAAGTGTTGACCATAATTATATTTAGTTGAATATGTACGTTTACAAAAGTTGTTGTTTCCTTGACGCTGCTTTAGAAATCTAACGTGATCTTTAGCAGGTTAAAGTATTATGTTTTCCTTTCAAATAAAAATGATGTAACTGGGTTGGGACACAGTGTTGGGATATAACTGATGCATTATTTCAGTCCCTGAGTTGATGACTGTTTCCAATTTGGTGAAGAACAAGATAGGCCTTGAGTGTGTTCATGTTAATAAACAATTAATTCCATAATATTATCATAAAAAGAGGTAAGTGCATGATATATATATCACAAATACAAGGAGTATTGTTGATGGTTCCTCAGACGTATACGTAAAACGGGTCATTGGATTTTTCTGATTATTTTCTTCACATGTCAAAATGTGTGTTGATTCAACCAATAGCAATGCGTAATTCTACCCAATCATTCAGTATTATACTGACAATTTGTTAGTAGCTAATTAGAGCGATAATTTCTCCACGTTGTTCGATTGGATCTTCGTTTAAATGGACTCATAAAGGGGCCCATAGACTGGGTTGTTGGTGGGCATCTGTTCGAACACAGTTGTGATTGATTAATAAATAATTCTTCAATAAATAATTGTTTAATGAACATATACTTGGGCATTTTGCGAAAAAGTTGAAAAATAATCACGCCAGATTACAGTCGTGGTGTTATTTTTTAAAATAATTTTAAGTATATTAGCCATCAGGGATTACTCAGTCTGAGTACGCCCTGGATTAGCACTCGTCTAATGGTTGCTACAAAGATTCGTGCATCTAGTTAAAATTATCAAAAAAATTCCACCACTTGTGTAATTAATCTTGAGAATTTGGTTGCTTCAATAATCGCACGTGATCTAACTATCAAAAATATTTTGAGCGATGTAGAGTTGCCGCTCATACCAAAAAGTAGCATCATCTTTGATATTACAAATGAGACGTTTTGTTTATTATTGCATTTGTAATCACATTCTGAATCTTTTTGCCTGATACTTTTCTATACCCATCTGTATCGGTTTTCGAGTTTATTCTTTTCCGTATTTTTTGTTCAAAACATAGCTCTAATTCAATTATTACTGCCGTACTTGGATTTGCAGAAACTTGAAATTTTGTTTTTTGTATGTATGTAACAGACTCCTTTTGACTCGAATTTGACCCACTTCAAACGGACCGATTGCTTTTAAATTTGACAGGTGTACATGATTCTGGTTGCAATGCATCATTCAATTTTTGTTAGAAAAAAAATGGCGGATCCAAAATGGCAGACGGGTTTTGTAATTATGATCCGATTCGATTCAAAATCGGTATATGGGGGTTCTTGAGGTCGAAGATTATGATTCTTTCGTCAAAATTGGTAAATTTAAGATGGCGGATCCAATATGGCGGACGAGTTTTGTAATTATGATCCGAATCTATTCAAAATTTGTATGTGGTGGTTTTCGGGATCAAAGATTATGATTCTTTCGTCAAAATTTGAAAATTCAATATGGCAGATCCAATATGGCCGACGTGTTTTGTAATTATGTTCCGATTGTAGTCACAATTGCTATTTGGGGTTTTAGTGGTTGGAGATTATACGATTCTTTCGTCAAAAGTGGAAAATTCAAAATGGCGGATCCAATGTGATGGTGAACGAGTTTTGTAATTATATGATCCGATTTCATTCAAAACTACACTCACCGGCAACATAATCGATCCACTCAAAATATTGATAAAATTTTATCAACGATAATTTCGTTAATTCATGTCTGATTCGTTCAATTTTTTTTCATTCCGTAGGTGAATTCATAAAGAATCACACACAATATTGAGATTTTAAGAAATGGGGCATATCTTCAAATCATACTGAGTGTCAAAAAATGTGCATTTTCACTTCAATTCTAAAACAATCTCTGGAGTGGCTAAGCTGGTACATCCTGTAATTTTTCAGTCAATCATCAAGCTACGTTTATTACGAACATTTTCTTTTTTTATTTGTTAGGATAACTGCATTTTTGTGGAAGTTACAAGGGTTTCAGAAGAACGTTACATTTCAACATATTTTTCTATGGTAATAACAAGGTTCCCCAAGCCATTTTTTGCATAGCTGGCTGTGACAGACCTGTCAGTTGACAATTTGTATGCTTGTGTTAATCATCGAATAGTTGAATATGATATGGATCTTTCTGCAACCGACTCTGCGAGAGCTATTGCTTTGGTGCAGGATGGTAGATCACAATATTATGTGGCCAGAGCTTTGGGAGTTTCAAGATCCAGGGTGCAAAGGGCTGTGAAACGGTTTCGTGAATTTGGTGTATTCACAAGAAGAGGTAATAGTGGTCGGAAAAAATCTACGAATGATCGAGATAACCGCTTCATAACGCTCAAAGTTTTGAGGGACAGAAGACTAACTTCTGTCCAATTGAAAAACGAATCAAAGGAGGTTAGGCGAGTTCAAGTCAGCGATAGAACAATAAAAAGGAGGCTTCTCGATATTAGACTCCGTGCAAGAAGACTTGCAACTGGTCCAGAGTTATCGAGGAATCATCGAGTTAATCGCCTCAGATATGCTAGGGAGCACGAATATTGGGGTAATGAAGAATGGAGCAATATCCTATTCACCGACGAGTCAAGGTTTTGTCTGAGATCACCGGATGGACGTGAAAGAATTTACAGAAGAGCTCTCCAAAACCATTTTTCGCCAAGAGTGAGTTACGGAGGCTGTTCGATAATGGTGTGGGGTGGCGTGAGTTTTGAAGCTAAGACGGACTTAGTCATAGTGGAAAGGGGATCCATGACAGCTGATAGGTATATAAGAGACGTTTTAGAACCACATGTTGTTCCATTTGGGCCGTTCATCGGAGACGATTTCATGCTTATGCATGACAATGCCCGACCGCATGTTGCTAGGATTGTGAATGGGTATTTAGCCGATGTTGAACTCGCAGTAATGCATTGGC